CAAAACCTGAAATGGGAAGTGACTGATGAGGGTGAGGAAGGCTCGCACTGCAGAATGGCAGTGCTCACTCCCAGCTGCTGGAACTGAGTCTTGCATGGCAAATGGCTGCCATGCTTGTTTCTTGGGAATCCTCACTGTGACTATGAGGCCCATTTCTTTCTTTTTTTCATTTGGGCTGGAGTGATAGCACAGCGGTAGGGTGTTTTCCTTGCGCGCAGTCAGGCTGGCCGAGCCGAGTTCGATTCCTCGGTCCCTCTCCAAGAGCCTGGCAAGTTACTGAGAGTATCTCCCCCCACGGTAAAGCAAATACGGCAAGATACCAAGAGTATCTCCCTCTCACGACAAAGCCTGGCAAGCCAAACGCAGTTACAACAAGTCTTAAAATGGAGACGTTACTGGGCCCGTTTGAGCAAATCAATGAACAACGAGAGGACAGTGTTATTTGGGTGGTTTGGGAGGGGGTTGAGGTCACACCTGGCTGTTTCTAGGGCTTACTCCTAAAATCCCATTTTTTTTTCCTTTTTGGGTCATACCCAGCGATGCTCAGGGGTTACTCCTGGCTCTACACTCAGGAATTACTCCTGGCAATGCTTGGGGACCATATGGGATTCCGGGGATTGAACCTGGGTCGGCTGCGTGCAAGGCAAACGCTCTACCCGCTGTGCTATCGCTCTGGCCCCCTTCCCATTATTTTTTAACTATTAATTTTTTGCTACACCCAGCTATGCTCAAGGGATCACTCCTGGTAGTGCTCAGGGTGCTAGGAATTGAACCTGGAAAGCAAGGCAAGTGTGCAAGGCAAGTGCCCCAACCACTGTACTATCTCTGGCCTGCCAGGGAGGTTTCTGAGATGGGGTTTACCTGATTACACTGATGCTTTAGAAAGGCCACTTGAGCTGGGAAACTCACAGAAAGCTGGTGTGTGGCCAGGTGCTTCCCCTCACAGTTATTGGGTGGACTTTAATCACAGAAGGGACAAGCCCAGAAACCACTGATCAGAGAGAGGAATAATCATGATCATTACTAGCACCTGTGTCCCCCTTTAGCATTTCAGCTAGATTTGAGTTGCAGACATGCATGGAAGCAATTGTTTTGTTTTGAGGCCATGCCCAGCAGTGCTCAGAGGTTACTCCTGGCTCTGTGCTTGAGGGGATTTCTCCTGAAGCTACTTGGAGCTCCATGTGCTGCTGAGGATCAACCTGGGCCTCACACACATGTACTCAGCCCTTTGAGCCATCTTTCCACACCCATTTAAACAATATTAATTGAGCACCTACTATGTGCCAGGTGCCATAGTGCCATTGGAGAACCAACAATGGAATTCTTCAAGGAATCTATTTTCCTTGTCTTTTGTGTCCTTTTGTTTTGTTTTCAGGCTATACCCAGCTAATGCTTAGAAATTACTCCTGGCTTTGAACTCAGGAATTACTCCTGGCAGTGTTCAGGAATGCCGGGGATCAAATTCGGGTCAACATTTCCAAGACAAATGCTCTCCTCACTGTACTATGGCTCCTGCCCTCTTATATGTCTTTTATGTTTGGGAATGTTCTACTCAGTCAGTCAGACTTGGAATGAACATTTACTTTGCTAGGGAGAAGCAGACATGAGTAGGGGCTATTCTAGCCTCACAGGCCAGTATTCAGCCCCCACTTAGAGGACTGTCTGGTTGGACTGCTGGCAGAGGCTGACCTGGGTCTTGAAAAATGTAAAGTCTGGGGGCTGGAGTGATAGCATAGCAGGTAGGGCATTTGCCTTGCACGCAGCTGACCCAGGTTCAATTCCCAGCATCCCAGATGGTTACCTGAGCACTGCCAGGAGTAATTTCTGAGTGCAGAGCCAGGAGTAATCCCTGTGCATTTCTGGCTGTGACCCAAAAGGAAAAAAAATGTAAAGTCTGTCAAAGAAGGGGCAACACCAATGTACAGTGAAAGACTTGGAGGGGCCAGAAAGATAGCACAATGGGTAGGGCACTTGCCTTTCATGTAACTAACCCGGGTTCTATCTTCGACACCCTATATAGTTCCCCAAGCCCCGTGAGGAGTGATCCCTGAGAGCAGAGACAGGAGTAAGCCCTGAGCACTGCTGGGTGCGGCGCAAAATAAAAACAACAAACCAAAAAAAAATACTCCAAGGTGCTTAGGGCCCATGATCCTGGCATGGGTATGATAGTGGTGGGTGCCAGATACCCACACAGCTGCTGTGTGTCACTTGGGAGACAGTGAGGACATTGGCATTGTTAGTGTAGTGGCTTATGTCACATTTGTTCTGGGGTCAATCACACCAGCAGCTGAATGCGAAGGGAAGGGGCTGTGGGTGGAGACAGGGGAGGTTGATGAGGCCGGGAACGTGTTCTCTAACCTTCCACACCTGGCACTGGTCTGTGGCCTGCTGCTTGAAGGTGGGGCACAGGGGCTCTGGGAGGCAGCTGGGAAATGGACTTTGAGGGACAGGCCAGAACATTCTGGTGCTACAAGAATGAGGCTGGAATCAAAGGTGCGGGAGAACCTTAGCTGACCTGGGATCCTGGGTCCCTTAAAGGGCCATTCTAGGTCTTAGTTTCCTGATCTTTTTGGTTTGTTTGGGGGCCACACCTGATGGTGCTCAGGGCTTACTCCTGGCTCTGTGCTCAGGGGATATATGTATTAGCAGGGATGGAACTGGGCCAGTCACATGTAAGGCAGGTGTCTTAACACTCCAGTCCCTATGTTCAGAGGCTACTCTGGGCTCTGTGCTCAGGGGTGACTCGGGAGAGTACTCGGGACTATATGCGGTGCAGGCATCAGAGCTGGGTTGGCCATGTGACATATGTCACCCTGTCTGCATCCTTGAGAACAGCCGAGCCCCTCTGCGGTTGCGGGGGTGATGGGAGTTTGCTTAGCGGAGAACCCGGGGCCTCTTCCAGTGTGTTCTAGTGTCCCCTGAGCGACAAGCGGACAAAGATGCCATCTCTGATGGCCAACAGGAAGAAGCATGGTGGGGCAAACAAGGCCCCCGCCCATCAGTGTCCGGCTCGGGGCAGGTACGACCTTTCGGAAGCAGGATCTGGCCGGCATGCAGAAATGTGGATTTTTTTTTTTGGTCTTTTTTTTGGGTCATACCCAGCGATGCTCAGGGGTTATTCCTGGTTCATGCACTCAGGAATTACTCCTAGCGGTGCTTGGGGGGCCATATGGGATGCTGGGAACTGAACCCGGGTTGGCTACATGCAAGGAAAACACCTTACCCACTGTGCTATCGCTCCAGCCCCAGAGAGGTGTGGGTCTTGTGGCCATGAAGGTGATAGAGGAAAGAAGGATGGGGTCTGGGAGGCCCTGGGATTAAGGGGAGAAAGAGAGGTCTGGAAGGGGTGGGGAGACATTCAGAAATTGGGGTGGGGGCAGTCTGGAAGTCAGGTGGGAGCCTTGGAGAGGAGGATGGCTGTCAGGGACAGATCCGGGAGGCAGAGTCTACCTGCCGAGTGGTGAATGGTCAGTGGCCAGTGGACTTGGCATCCAGAGATGACTGGGTGCTGGGCAAAAGTCGGTTCAAGGGCCATTTGTGGGGTGCCAACTCCCCACGTCAGAGGTGAGGTGGCGTAGAAATGCAGCATGAAAAGCGGACATTAAAGAGAGGGTGCGGGGGCTGGGGCAATAACACAGCGGGTAGGGCGTTTGCCGACCCGGGTTCGATTTCCAGCATCCTATATGGTCCCCCGAGCACCGCCAGGAGTGATTCCTGAGTGCAAAGCCAGGAGTAACCCCTGAGCATCGCTGGGTGTGACCCAAAAAAGCAAAAAATAAATAAATAAAATTTAAAAAAATAAAGAGGGGGTGCGGGGCTGGAGAGATAGCACAGTGGTTAGGGCGTTTGCCTTGCACGCTGCCAACCCGGGTTTGATTCCCAGCATCCCTATGGTCCCCTGAGCACCGCCAGGAGTAACTCCTGAGTGCAGAGCCAGGAGTAACCCCTGTGCATCGCTGGGTGTGACCCAAAAAGCAAATAAATAAATAAATAAATAAAAATTTAAAAAAATAGAGGGTGCCCGACACCTGTAAGTGGCTGACTCTGGTTCAAGCCTCCACACCACACATGGTCCCCAGGTGCTGCCAGGGGTCCCTCCTGAGCACCGCCAGGTGAGGCCCCCAAGCCAAAAAAGAAAAATAAAGAGAAGGATGCTGGATACTGGGACACTCGGGGGCACCCCAATTTCCCATCAGTGAAAATTTATCAATGGTGGGGACTGAAGTGATAGTACAGCAGCGCTTGTCTTGCACGCAGCCGAACCGGGTTTGATCCTCGGCACCCCTTATGGCCTCCCCAGCTCCCCAGGAGTGATTCCTGAGTGCAGAACCACGAGTGAGCCCTGAGCACTGCCGAGTGTGAACCCTAAAATAAACAAAAAAAGAATGTATCAATTGTGTTATACATGAGACCCTATCACGAACAGTACTGTAAACCGCAGTGCCTAAAATAAGTTTTTAAATAAAATTTAAGAAACGGGTGCGGGGGGGGGGGACGGGGGGGAGAATGTCAGCGGTGGCGCTAGGCCAGGAGGTGCAGTGGTGAGCGCCAGGTCCCCGAGGCGGCAAGCAGGGCTGGGAGCCCGCCGCCAGCAGGCCGGGCCGGCGGCCACAAGCCCCGTGTCCTTCTCCGCATCCCTAAACCTCGGGGAGGGTCAGTCCTATTTCTAGCGTCCGAAGAGCCTGGGCACCCGCAGCGCCCCCCGCCCCCAGACTCCCCGGCGCAGAGCGCACACGCCGTGGTGCCCCCCGCCTGCGCTCCCCAGGTCGCCCCTTGATTCATCCCGTCGCCCTCGCCTCCCGGCATCTCGGAGCCGCCCGCATCTCCGCGTCTCGCCGCATCCCTCGGCTCCCCGGGCTCTGCCCTTCCCCACCCCGCCCGTCCCCTCCCCCCGGACCCCTCCCCGGACTACAAGCCCCAGGCGCCCCCAGCCCCGGGGCTGCGCATGCCCCCTGCTCCCCGCCCCCTCCCGGCCCCCCCCTCCTTACCTCCCTCCGCCCCCCTCCCCCGCGCTCCGGCGCCCGCATCCCTCCATCCCAGCCTGTGCCGCAGCCGCATCGCCACCGCAGCCCCGGCACAGCCGAGAGCGGCCCAGGCCTCTGCCCCTGCCCGGCCCCCGGCCAGCCGCCCCCGCCTGCGAGCCCCCCCTTGGCAGCTCCGGCACCCCCCGGCGCCCCCAGACCCGGCCTCCAGCACCTAGGCAGGAGGCAGGAGCAGCAGAAGCCCGAGGAGGACGAGGAGGAGGAGGAGGAGCCGTCGCAGGATGAAGGATCGGACTCAGGAGCTGCGGAGTGTGAGCCTGGGGTGGGGGGGAGGGGGGGCGGGACCCCGACATTTGGGGAGTGGGGGAGGCTCGGCGAGAGGGGGCAGCCGATGAGAGCGGCGCCTGGCCGCAGGGCGCCCCGGGATCCGGAGGCACCTCACATCTCCAGTGAACCTTTTGGGGACAGTGGCTGGAAGAGGTTGGAGGCCATTAAAGACACAAGGGGGCAGGAGAGGTCTCCGGCCCCGGACACCCCGCATTCCCGAAGGGGCCCCGGGGTCGAACCTGGGCGTGAGCCGGGATGGGTGTCAGGTGGGGATTGGAGGGGCCGAGGTGCCGAAATAGAAGGATGGGGGCGGTTACTGGGCCCGGCCTGGAGCAGGACCCAGATTTGGGGCTCTGTGGGGAGGGCCCGGCCGGGCGGGCGCACAGCAGTGAATGGAGAGTGTGTGTACTCATGGGTGCCCCCCCATCGGGAGGAGGCACTCGCCCGGCCCAGGTGGGAGCTGGGGTGCAGAGAGGCGGGGGTTCCGTGCACGGCGGTGGAATTGGGTTGTGTGATCCGGCTATGCTCTGTTGGGGGAACTGGGGCACCCCGAGGAGCCAGCCAGCTCCCAGGGCCCAGCCGCGGGACTCCGGCCCCCCTGGGTTGTGTGGGGTGACAGGGAAGGGGATGGCACTGGTCCCTTCGGTGAGGGGCTGGGGCAGGGGGGCTTGGCAAGGATGGTCTCTGGGAAGAGCAGAGTGCCAGGGAGGCCAGAGGAATGACCCAGGGCCCGAGGAGCCGGCGGGAGCTCCTGGCTGGGGTGTTCTGTGAAGGAGGTGCCAGCCAGCCCAGGCACTGAGGACCCTGATCTTTACCAGGAACCTGGGGGTGGTTCCTCGGGGGCCATGAGCCCAGTTGACAAATGAGGAAACTGAGTTTCAGAGGTAGGCAGGAACTTGTCCAAGGTCACCAAGCAAATGGAGCACCAGGCCGGGAGCACCAGGCTGGGAGCTAGGATTTGTGTCGGCCAGGTGACAGGTGTCTGATTTGGGGGCCTGTGAAAAAGAAGTCTCGACATGGGGGGCAAAGAGCTCTACTTGGGAAGAGCCCCCAGGGTGTGAGGACAAGAGGAAGGCACATGCCTGTGGGGAGATGGGCGGGAGGAGGAAGGAAGGAGAAAGTGGTGGTTGCGGGAAGGTCTTTGAGATTTTGAAATTTTTTAAGATTTACTTCTCGATTCAACTTTTGCAGAATATATGCTGAGGCATTGGGGAAATGACCATATAAAAAGAAGCAACAGTCATGTACTAGACACTGTTCTGAGTGTTTTCTACCAAGGTGGGAGCTCATGGCAGCCCTAGGAGACTGGTATCACCCCATTTTATAGATGAGGAAACTGAGACCCAGAGAGGTGAGGACTCTTGAGGAAAACAGTGAAGGAGAGGCAGGTCGGCTCCAGCACCCCCTTCTCTCACATGTTGTTTCAGTTGCCAAAGCAGACTGGTTTCTGCAGCGCCCACCAATCTCATTTGGAGTAAACTGAGGCCCAGAGCAGTTAAACAACTGGCTCAAGGTCACAGAGTTAGCAAATGAGGAATCAGATATGACCCCAGAGCCCCTCTTGCCAGCGTTCTTCCCTGCCCCCCAAAGCTGAAGACTAGGAACTGGGTGAGGTAGTGGGGAAGTGGGGTGCAACTGAGGAATGAGTTTTCATCTGAAGGGGGGGACCCCTGCCGGGACGTGAGGACTCCCGTGTGATGGAGCTGCTGGGGACAGCCAGGTGGGGGTGGGGGGCGTTGAGTGGATGCTGCTCTGTTAGTCACAGCTCGGGGGAACTGGAGATTTGGGAGGGGGCGGGTGGGGCGGGCAGGAGCTGCCAAAAGCTGCAGTGATGCTCCAGGGCCCCCCGAGAGCCGAGAGGGAGGCTGGGCCTTGGGAAAGGCGTGTCAGAGAGTCCTGACTTTTTTTTTCTTTTTTTCATTTTTGAGTCACAGCCGGCAGTGATCAGGGGTTGGTTACTCCTGGCAGGCGCAGGGGATCACATGGGGTGCCAGGGATTGAACCCAGGTCGGCCACGTGCAAGGCAGACGCCTTCCCCGCCGAGCTATGGATCAGGCCCAGGGGCCTGACTCTTTCTGAGAGGCCTCCAGGGTCCTCGTGAACTGGTCACAGAGCAGTGGAGGGCGGGTTTGGGAGTCAGACAGGCGGGTTCGAATCCCAGCTTTTCTTTCGATGGCAGCTGGGTCAGTTGCTGACCATCTGCTCCTGTTTCTCTCCCTTTTCTTAAATGTTTGGTTTTGGGATCGTACCGGGCTCTGTTGAGGGGAACCCCCAGAGGTGCTGGGGGGTCGCGCAGGGCTCAGACGGAACCCAGAGCGCCCAGTGCTGAGTTCTCACTCCAGAGCTTTGAGCCCGGGACTGCCCAACCCCCACGCCCCCGCCCCCCACCCGCTGTGTGCTTCTTTCTGTGTGAATTGGAAATAGTAGTATTTGCTTCTTGGGCTGTTTACGGATTAAAATTAATCCACATGAAGTGCCTGGAAGGGGGCCTGGAGCCCAGCGATGCTCTGTCGAGGGTTACTGCACCGAGGACTGAGGGCTCATTTGTATCGTCTCTCGAGCGGGGTCAGTCCGCTGGAGTGGCAGGATGTGACTGATTTACTTTGGGGTCGGGGTGGGTCAGAGAGGTTAGCTCACTCACCCAGGGTCGCAGAGCAGCCAATGGCAGGTGGGTTGAGCTATTCAGGTCAGCAGGCATGTTTAGTTGGGAAGTGGGGGTTGTGTGTGTGTGTGTGTGTGTGTGTATGTGGGGGGGGGGTGTCAGCCGTGTATTGTGTCCAGGATCCCAGGAGTGGCACTAAGATAGGGCAAGGAAAGGAGGCGCAGAGAGTCGGGTTGGTGGTTGTAGGCACATGTGGGCTGATGTGAGGCTGGTGGAGGAGACGGGCGGGAGAGAGGCCAGGCGGACCAGGGGGGAGGGGGTGTTGAGGGGGTCTCATGTAGTGAGGAGCTAGAATTCAGGCACAAGGCAGGCCCCAGGCAGCCACCTGGATGCTCAGCAGTGAGGGCTGGCACCCCACCTTTCTACCCAGGTTCACTGAGTGCTCCCTGCTCCCCACCCCTGCCCGGAAGGCAGGCTCTGTCTACACCGCTGTCCCCCACCGTGAACAGCCCTCCCAGACTGTGGCACTGGTGACTCCTTCAGGACATGGCTCAAGTGTCACTCCCCGATCAGCCTCCCCTCTCTGTGCTCCTCCCCCCCAACCCCCCCACCACCGTGCTGGCTGCCACCCCTCCTTGGAGCTCCTTGGAGGCAGGGCCTTGGCCTTCCGGCACCTGGGTTCACTGCCATCTTCTCGGCACCCAGAGACCTTGGCACAGACCCCACGGATTTGTTGGATGAGAGAATGACTCCGTAGGCCCAGGGAGGGCGGGGGTGAGGTAGGTGGGGAAGGCAGGTGGGCAGGGCTGTGGGGAGAGGCGGGCGGGGGCAGGGTCAGAGACAGATGGTCAGGAGCAGGGGGTGAGGGGGGGGGCGCGAAGGAGGCCGCACCCCAGCACATGTTGGCTGCGCGCGCGCGCACACACACACACACACACACACACACACACACACACACACGCTCCGAGCACGCTTACTCCGCGGTTTTTCGTCACCTCCCAGTCTCTTCCCACCTCTGCTCTAGCTGCTGACTGTGCTCCCTGTTTGCTGCTGCACATTTTCCCCCCGAGGTCTCCCCCACTCTAAGGACCCCTCGTGTTTCTGATGTGGAAGGCCTGGGCCTTGGGGTGTCCTGCGGAGGCCACACTGATGCTAGAGACTGGGAGGAGCCCACAGCGGGGCCCCTCCTGGAATCCTCTCTGCCCTCGAGGACTTGGTGAGCAACGCAGGCTCAAACCCAGGGGCCCACTACTCACATCCGGTTAGCTGTTGAATGAATTTTTTGTTTGTTTGTTTTGATTTGGGGGGCCACATCCTGCTATGCTCAGGGCTTACTCCTGGCTCTGTGCCCAGAAACTTGCGGGACCATATGGGGTGCCGGGGATTGAACCTGGGTCGGTCGCGTGCCAGGACAGCGCCCTACCTGCTGTACTGACACTCCGGCCTTGGCTATTTAATCTTAGGCGAGTTAATTCATCTCTCGGTGCCTGGTTTCCTCCTCTGTCAAATGGAAATAAGAGTAATGCAGTGGCCTTTCATCCTTGGGACACATTCTTCGCCCCCAGGGGATGCCTGAGCTCTGGAGGACCAACCCCCACACGTATATACTATGTTTTTTTCCTATATGAAATTTAATTAGGGGGCCAGAGAGAGTGTCCAGCAGGTGAGGTGCTTGTTTTCCATGCATCCAACCCAGTTTGATCGGACCCAGGCATGGAATATGGTCCCCTGAGCCCCACTGGGAGTGATCCCAGAGCACAGAGAAAATGTTTAAATAGGTATCATCTTAACAACAATGCTGCTAATAAAATAGAATAAAACACTTAGAACAAGCCACGAGTAGAAGTTATAGAAACGGAGTCTGGCCCACATCTTTTTGCCTGCATGGTATCAGGGATCAAACAGCGCAAGGCGTGCACTCCAACCGGGCGGCATCCCAGCCCCTCACCATATCTTATCATGCCTAAAACCTCTTAACCATGTGGATAAGGGTTCAACTGATACCTGGGGTTCAGTTGGAGGCAGTTTCCACTGAACCCACTGAAAGCACCAAGCTGGTTGGAATGGCTGTCTGCTTCCTGGGGCAGCCGTGACGGTGTCTCTCCGCATATGGATTCTTTCGTTCTTCATTTGCACTGCAGGAAGCTGAGGCTTGAACTGCACTGATGTCGTTGTCAAGTGGGTTGAGTGTTTGACCCTCAGCTTCTCTAGTCGATTGGCCTGTTTTCTTTCAGGCCGGCCAACTTCTCTCAGTAAGTCTTAGGATTAAGGGGGCCGAAGCGATAGTACAGCAGGTGGGGCACTTGCCTTGCACACGGCTGACCTGGGTTTCATCCTCGGTATCCCATATGGTTCCTCCAAACACCACCAGGAGTCATCCCTGAGCACAGAGCCAGGAATAAGCCCTGAGCACTGCTGGGTGTGGCCCAAACATTTTAAAAAAGAAAGTCTTCTGACTAAAGGCTACAGAGCAGGGGCCCATGGACCAGCTCATTTCACAGATGATTGGGGGCGCAGAGAGGCATGACCTGCAGAGGGTCACCCCGTTAGTTAAGGAGGAGGTGTGGCTGCCTAGCTTCCTGCCTAGGTTCTTCTGCAGCCCGGCCCCTCTTACTGGTCTTCCTGCCCCTGACACAGGAGTTCAGGGAGCCGCGGGCCCAGTGGGGCGCTCAGGGCTGGAGGGAGGCGGGTCCTACGAGCTGTCCAGGCCTTCTCCAATCTCACTTGCTGTGAAGACTTCAGCAAGTCAGGCAACTTCTCTGAGCCTGTTTCCTCCTCTGCTTCCCCGGTGGAGCAGCGAGCCATCTGCCGCCACCTCCCCCGGCAGTGCTCAGGGCTGCTCCCTACACCCGACTCGGTGCTCAGGGGACTCTAGTAGCCATCAAACCCAGGGCTCCAGAATGCAAAGTGGGTGCTCAAGCTCTTTGAGCCCCCTCTCCCAGCCTCCTCAGCGCTTCCTCTGGAGATTGAGTCCCTTCTGCTGCCCGGACTTACGCTCTGCTCCAGGCCCCGTGTAGGATGGGCAGGCTCGGTGCTTGCCTTTCAGCGAACACAAAGATTGAAGCTCAGGGAAGAAGCCGTGTAGCCTTCTAGTTGCTAATGTGTGACCACAAAGGGTTTTTTTTTTCTCTCTGCCTCAATTTCCCCACCTGGAAAAGGGAGCTTTAATAATATGTGCTTTGGGGCAGATATTAGAACTAACCAGCCACGTCCAAAGAACAGACACTGGCCCAGCGCAGGGCCCAAGTGGCCTGACCAGTAGAGCTGGTCATGAGTACCAGTATGTTAGCAGAGGCCCCAGGGGATTCCAATGAAGATGAAATCAGGCTGGAGTACCTGACCTGCCCTAGGGGCTGTTAAGGGATAATGTTTTGCTAGGTTTTGGGGCCACATAGCCTCTCCCTGGTGACTGGAGCAGAACTGACTTGAGAGAAAAAATCGCTGGGGACCGTGTGTGGGTGGAGAAGGTGACTGGTTGGGGTCGAACCTTAGGAGGGGCTGTGGGGGCCAGGGCAATGGTTCAGGGTAGGACACTGACTTGCCTGTGTGAGGTTGTGACATGAGAGAGAGAGAGAAGGAGAAAGAGGGAGGGAGGAAGAGAGGGAGAGGGAGAGAGGGGAGAGGGCCGGAGGGGTGGGGGAGGGGCAGGCCGCATGTCCCTACCTCTGGCCTGTACAGGGGGCCAGTATTTGTTTCCCTGGGCCAATGAGGATCAGATTGGGTTACAGGTGTAAAAACGTTTGCGACCCACGGAGATGGTGAGCTTGCTGGAATTATTATTCCAAATCAGTCATATTTGGGCCTTTTGACCTTTTTTCCACTCTCAAGGACAGGTGAGGGGCCGAGAGCTGGTACAGTGGGGAGGGCGCCTGCCTTGCACATGGCCCACCCGGGGTTCAATCCCTGGCATCCCCTAGGGCCCCGTGAGCTCTGCCAGGAGTGATCCTTGAGCCCTGCCAAGTTTGGTCCCAAACCAAAAAACAGATGGCAGGGGAGCCCCCCTGCCCCGCAGAGCTGCTGGGGTTCCTGGGGAACAATGGGAAAGCGTGTGGCAGGAGCCGGGAAGTCCCAGCTTCTGTCCAGGAAGGCCTCCTGGCCTGTTGGCCTGGACTGCGGGGGGCGGGGGGGCTGTTACGGCCAGCAGAGGAAGGATGGGGTGGGGGTGTCTTTTGGCTCCTTGTGGGGGAAAAGGATGGGTCCTCAGAAATAACTTGGCCTCTCACCATCTCTCCGGCCAGAGCCCGCAGTTTGGCCTCGGTCCGGTGGAGGCTGGAGAAGCCCTGTGTGGGCCCCCAGGTCCCCCCTCCCCCCCCTCGAGTACCACCTGCCTTGGGGGGCGGTGAGGAGCAGAGGTGGTGGAAGCTTCGCTTCTGGGGCTCTCCCGTGCCTAGCGTGTGTTCTCGCGGGGAGGAGTGAGAGTCCGTGGCAGCTGGGGGGACTGAGGGGACCCACCGGAGACCCCCCGTGCTCTCGGCCCATCTGGCCCTGTCTCGGCTCCGGCTCAGACTTGTCTGCAGCGAGTCTGGTCTGTGTGTGCTCGTCTGGTTCCTGCCAGACACCTGCCAGCCTGGGACCCTGTTCTGGGGGCGCATCTCCCTTTAGATCCTGACCAGCTGCACCCCAGGGAGGTGCTGGGTGGGGGTGGGGGACCCTGTCTGAACGGGGGCTGATTCTGTCAGGCACCAGGGTGAACTCTTGAAATTTCCACTGGGGCCCGTCTAGAGCGCCAGATGTAATTAAGCTTGATGCGCGCGGTCCTCGCCCTGACTGTCCGACGAGGCAGAGAACATTCTTGAGACAGGAGTTTGGGACTGGGGAGCCCCCCCCCACTCCATCCCCCCCCCCCGCACCAGCATTGAACCAGGCACAGGCCTGGGGCGGGGGAGTCAGAGTGGCCCTGCCGAGCCCCCCGTGTGTGGTGGCGCCGCGTCTCGTCTCGGCGTGGGTGGCCCGCGCCTATTTCTGTGAGCCGCGTGTCAGCCCCCTCTGCCGTGTCACTGGCCTGTCTGGCGGTGGCGGTGGCGGTGTGGGTGGGTAAATCCCTTTGTGTCTCTGAGCCCTGGGCTGGAGGGATGAGCAGCTGCAGGTTGCAACTGGGAAATCCAAGCAAGGGAGAGTAGGTGGGTGGGAAGCGGGAAGAGGCGCCCCGAAAGCAAATGAGCCTCCAGCGGCGGGGAGGGGGGGCTGCAGGGGGGGCAGCGTCGGGGAGTGGGAGGAAGGAGAGGGAGGGCTGGTGCTCATCGCTGGACCTCGCTGACCGCTCTGGCAAGGAAGTGAGCTGGTACAGGGAATGTGGCTGTCGGGGAAAGCTGGAGGGGAGGGCGGGGGAGGAGATTGAGGCAGGCCAGGGGTGGGGTGGCAGGGACAGCACCCCAGCACGCTCTCTCAGAACCCCCTTCTGACACCCTCTCCCCATCCCCATGCCTTTTTTTTTTTTTTTGCTTTTTGGGTCACACCCAGCGATGCTCAGGGGTTACTCCTGGTTCTGCACTCAGGAGTTACTCCTGGCGGTGCTCAGGGGACCATATGGGATACTGGAACTCGAACCCGGGTGACCATGTGCAAGGCAAATGCCCTACCCGCTGTGCTATTGCTTCCGTCCTTCCCCAATGCCTTTTGCTTGGTTCCTCAGAGGTGTCCTTTTTGGCTGTCAGCTCTACCGATCCCCAGGGTTTGTTCTGACTTCCCCAGGGCCTTCGCCCACCTGAGCTGCCCCTAGACCTCTCATGGGCGCCTCCTTTCTTGGCTTCCCAGGCAAAAGACAGCGACGATGAGGAGGAAGTGGTGCACGTGGATAGGGACCACTTCATGGATGAGTTCTTCGAGCAGGTAACTCGGGCTCCGGCGCCAGCCCAGACCCGCCCCCGCTCGGCTGCACTCCCTGCCCTCACCCTCCCTTCTCTCTACTCTTGCCCCCTTGGCCTCGGATCAATCCCTCTGGGTCTGGTCCGTTCCCCTGAACTCTGGCTGAGCCCCCTGGATCTCCCTGCCTGGCCCAACGACTTGGGAGGCTCTAGCAGGTTTGCTGCCCCAGGTGGAAGAGATCCGGGGCTGCATTGAGAAGCTGTCGGAGGATGTGGAGCAGGTGAAAAAACAGCACAGTGCCATCCTGGCCGCCCCTAACCCCGACGAGAGTGAGTGCCCGCTGGGCAGCGGCAGGGGCGGGGTCCCGGCTCCCCCAGCCGGCTCACTCGCCCCTGGGCCTCCCCTCAGAGACCAAGCAGGAGTTGGAGGACCTCACTGCAGATATCAAGAAGACGGCCAACAAGGTCCGGTCCAAGTTGAAAGGTGAGGAATGCACCCCGCCCAAGGCGCTTTTGCTCCGGAATGTCTGCACACTTCTAGGAACCAGATTCCTGAGCCATGAGGGCTCCCAAGCTCACATTCCTCTCTGGGAAAAAGCTCGGAGACAGGGACAGGAGGAAGAGGGTTTCTGCTCAGATGGCATCTGAGCGCTGGCGAGTCAGCTCTGTGGACTGTACAGGTGGTACATGCAGGAAGTACCACCTGTCCCCTGACCCCCTCTGGGAGCACCGAGCCAGGGGTGGCTCCTGAGCACCTCCCCCAAACCACACCAAACAACTCCCCCCCCATCGCATCTTAGCAGAACTGTAGACATCAGTGTCCGAGGGGCTTCAGTTTTGTGATGTCCCCGTTTCCCCCGAACGGGCACCAGGCAGAGCCCAAGGACCCAGTAGGTGGGCTCGCCGAATGCGACTGAATTGGTATCCTCGGCTCAGGACAGATTGGACTGTGTGGCTGACATCAGGGGCTGGCAAGCTTTCAGGAGGCCCTGCCAACTGCTCATGTATTCGCTCTAATTTAGGGACTTGGGTGCTGGTAATAACCACCTTCCCTCAAAGCATTGTGGGTTGGGAACCTCCTAGTCGGCTGCTGCTGGGGGAGCCGCGGCGCCGGGCGCTCAGCTGTGGGAAGCATTCGCTGAGCACCTACTCTGTCTCTTCGCTGGCCCTGAGCACACTGACCTTGATCCAGGAGATGACGGGACACCATGTGCCCCTGACCAGGAGGCCTTGGGAGTTTGTGAAAACAAGTTCTTTGCCCTCAGGACAGTGAGCTGGGATACACGTGACCCAGTGACCCTGACTGGGAGCGTGTCACGTGCAGAGGCAGGAGGGAGCCCTACCTCCGTCATGTCATTTGGACAGTCACATCCCATAGCCTCTTCTCTGGCACAGCGAGCCAGGGGGTAGGTGCTTACTGTGCCCACAGATGCCCCTGGCTCATCCTTAGCCTCTGCCTGGTCCCCTGAGCTGGTTCAGCCCTGAGCACTGCGGGGTGTGGCCCCAATTTCCCTGCTCCCATAAAAGGAGTAGTGATTGCATAGCTCTTCACCTCTTTTTGGTAGGAAAAAACTTTTTTTTTTAAATAAATGATATCTTGGCACCAGAGCAGTCGTACAGTAGGTAGGGCCCTGGCCTTGCAACGCAGCTGACCCAGGTTCTGTCCCTAGTGTCCCACCAGGAGTAAGCCCTGAACACCACCAGTGTGCCCCAAAAACAAAAACTAGCAATCAGGGACTAGAGTGATAGTACAGCGGGTAGGGCGTTTGCCTTATACGTGGCCGATCCGGGTTCGATCCCCGGAATCCCATATGGTCCCCCAGCACCGCCAGGAGTAATTCCTAAGTGCAGAACCAGGAGTAACCCCTGAGCATCGCTGGGTGTGAGCCAAAAAAGCAAAACCAAACCAAACAAAAACAACTAGAAATCATTGAAATATCACAGGGGCCTGGGAGATGGCTCAGACTTCACATGCAGCAGCCCCGGGTTTCAACCCTGGCACCGACCAGCGCTGCTCGGAGAGGCCTTCGGCACAGTGCTGAGTTAGGGGAGGCCCAGGGTCTGTGAGGTTCGCACACACCCGGCACCCAGTTTCTTGGGTTGAGCCTTGACTCCACCCTGTCCCTGAGCCGGGCTCTGTGGTCCCAGGGCCTGCTTGAGGAAAGATGCCAGGAGAGCGACAGCCTCCCTGTAGGCTGCCGCCTCTTCTTCGTCTTCCTCCAGCGTGTGTTGGCGCGGGCACAGACTGGGTGAATGACCTTGAGTCAGTGGCTTGACTCACGAGCACCTTAGTTTGAGCCTGCTCTAAACAAGACTGAGGTCACCGAATCCCACCTCTGTTCTAGGGAGTCAGTGGGCCCTGCAGGGATCCTCCCACCAGGCCCGCTTCGGAGCCCCCCATCTGACCAGAGATTCTGCCCCGCTCGTTCCCACTGCGGCAGGGCCGGGGCCCTCACTTGCAGAGACCGCGGGGTGCCTGCTGCTCCCAGGGAGGAAAAGGGTGTTTTCAGGAATGGTCTGCGCCTCCGGCGGGGAGGGCCTGGTGATTCATCGCTCTGCATCTTCCCAGCACTGGCGCACGCGGCTGTTTTGGAAAGTCTGAGTGATAGGTGGCAGGAGGGCGTGATGCTGAAGCCGGAATCCCGGGCTCATCTGCCGCTTTTCCAGAACGTCCGCTAGCAGCGGGAATTCCCTGGACCTGGCTCACCTTTGCAGGGTGGGAGATGAGGCTGCTGGAACACCTCCCTGCTCAGCCTAAGACTTTCCAAGGCCGGGGGAGGGGGAGTGCCGGGAGAACTGGTCCATCTGGGTGTGTCTGGCCCTCACTGAGACATCCCTTTGCCAAGGTGGGAGGAAGAGTCCCCACCACAGGGCGGGGGACGTGAGGGTGTGTGCCCCTAGGGGGTCCGGCAAAAGATAACGCCTCCGGGACTTTCAAAAACTCAGTCGTGGGGGCTGGAGCAATAGCACAGCTGGTAGGGCGTTTGTCTTGCACACAGTGAACCCGGGTTCGATTCCCAGCATCCCATATGGTCTCCCGAGCACCAACAGGAACAATTCCTGAGCACAAAGCCAGGAGTAATCCCTGTGCATCGCTGGGTGTGACCCAAAAAAGAAAAAAAAAAAAACCTCAGTTGTGGCATCAGAATAAAGCCCCTTCCATGTAGGGACTGGTCAGCTGTCCATCTCCCCACCTTTGGAGGAGTCCTGACCCCCTCCCTCAATCCTGTTCTGTCTGTCTTGGCCATGGGTGTGTGTGACATGTCTTCACCTGCCTGGGACCCGCCGCCCATTGTCAACCAACCCTTCATCCATCCCAGTCCCCCTGCCCCCACGGCCAGGGTCTCCTGCCCATCCCTCTGCCCTTCTCCCACAGCGATCGAGCAAAGCATTGAGCAAGAGGAAGGGCTGAACCGCTCTTCTGCAGACCTGCGTATCCGCAAAACCCAGGTAGGGCCTGCCTGGAACCCCCAGAGGAGGGCTGGAGCTGTGGGGTCGTGGAGGGGTGTGGGGAGAGGGGCTTCATCCTCTCTGGTGGCGTGGGCCTGCTTGTTTGGGGAGGCTTGAGGTTGGGGTCTTCAGGAGTGGGGTGCGTCTCTAGAGGACGTTTCTAGAAAAGCGGCAGATGAGCCGGGATCCCGGCTTCAACATCACACCTTCCTGCCACCTATGGCGGGGACCATATGGGATGCTGGGAATCGAACCTCTTCTCCTCACCCCAGCACTCCACCCTCTCCCGGAAGTTCGTGGAAGTAATGACCGAGTATAACGCCACGCAGTCCAAGTACCGGGACCGCTGCAAGGACCGGATCCAGCGGCAGCTGGAGATCAGTGCGTGACCCCACCCTGCCGCCCGGTCTGCCCGAGCGCCCCCTGGCCAGACCCTCCATGTCGGGAGCCTGCTTGGCTGGGGGCGGGGGGAGGGGGGGCTTCCAGCCCGGCCCCCGGCCAGCCCCACCCAGCACGGAGTCCTTTCTCCCCACAGCCGGAAGGACCACGACCAACGAGGAGCTGGAAGACATGCTGGAGAGTGGCAAGCTGGCCATCTTCACCGACGACGTGAGCCGGGTCGGGGGGCGGATTGGGAAAGTCTTGATTTCGGTCCAAGACTGCGGACCAAGTCCTCCATGCGTCCGGGATCAGCAGGCCTCTGGGAGCAGTGTCCAGGGTTATGTTTACTGCTAAGTAATGTCATCCTCCACGCAGTCTGTGGAGAGAGGACAGATGAGGAAATCTGCCCTCCTGCCATCCCCCGGTCCCACTCAGGGCAGGTGGCCACTGTGACTTCTCCAGCCGTCTACCCTCTGGCCACAGTGAAGATTCTGACGATTTCAAAACAAAATGAAACAGTGTTACTGGGGCAGGGGGTGAGGGAGTGGGGTGGGCAGGAGCAGAGAGACGGTACAGCAGGGAGGGCGCTTGTCTTGCATGCAGCTGACCTGGGCTCAGTTCCCAGCACCCCAGTATGTCCCCGAAGTCTTCCCAGAAGTGATCCCTGAGCAGAGCCAGAAGCCAGCCCTGAGCATTGCTGGGTGTGGCCCCCAAACAAGACACAATACCCACAGGAGCGCAGGTCTGACCTGTGTGTGGCCCCTGGGTTCCGTTTCTCATTCCCGGCTGTGACCCAGTGACCCCCTGCCCCAGCAGTGAGCGGAGGCAGGAGCTGCCCTCGGTTCCAAGCACTGTGGAGGGGCCCAACCCAGACAGACAGAAACCAGAGTGTGTCGGGAAGTTTCGCTTCGGTTTCGTCTCACTTGGCTTTACCAACATGCGGCTCTTTCAGTTCCTTACCCTTCCGCATCGTCTCTCATGTACGTGGACGGGCTTTTCCCCACCAGCAAGTCTTTCTCTTTCTGAGACTTCTCACCTGGCCCGCCTCATTCTGCTTCTCTTTTTCTTCTTCATGATGCATTATTATTAATTAGTACAGCGACCTTGCTCCCCACAGTGTGAATATTGACACTTTCCGTGTATGGTTTCTGCCCCAACCCCTGCCATATGCCAGTGTTCCCTCCTCACCTGTCCCACTGTCCTCAAGTCCCTTCTTGTGTATCCCCAAGCTCCTGGGAATCCCACCGTGTTGTCAGAGTCCACGGTTTTATTTTCTTTGAGTTTGGCGCTTTCTCTACTTTTTGTTTGTTTGCTTTGGGGCCCAACTTGATGGTGCTCAAGACTTACTCCTGGCTCAGGGTGGAAGGCTCACTCCTAGGGGTGCTTGGGGGACTGTCTGGGGGTCCAGAATGAAACCCAGGCCAATGCACTATGGCTCCGACCCTGCTCCCTCCCTTCTGCTGTCGGAATGTCTCTGGAAAGGGCTCTGGGGCCCGAGGAAAGCAAGTTCAGCAGTGGCTTCACACTGTCAGCAAGTTCTTTTTTTTTTTTTAACCTTTCTGTTATTATTTATTTATTTATTTGCTTCTTGGGTCACACCTGGCGATGCTCAGGGGTTACTCCTGGCTCTGCACTCAGGAATTACTCCTGTCGGTGCTCGGGAAACCATATGGGATGCTGGGAATTGAACCCGGGTCAGCCGCATGCAAGGCCAACAAAATGCCCTACCAGCTGTGCTATCGCTCCAGCCCCCAAGTTGTTCTTTTTTGTTAAATTAACTTTGGCAAAATTAATTGCCGGTCAGTTTGCCGGGAGTTTCCGTAGCTGCTCTGTTCGGGCTGGCCGGCCAGGGAGTGGTTCAAAGGACAGCGCGCGCCCTGCCCACGGGCCACCATCATTACAGCAGGAACCCATCCTCAGTGCTGATTGGGGATTGAGGCCACCGCTCCCAGAGCTGGACAGACCCTCAGGGTGTGATTGGAGTCAGGAAAGGCTCCCTGGAGGAAGAGGCTTGGAATTGGCCTTAGGAGACAAGAACTGTTTGGACTTGGGGAGATGCGCAAAGAGCATCTGAGACAGATGGACAGGAGGGCTCACTGAGTCTGAACCCACACCACCCTCAGAGGAGGGTGGTGGGCGGCCTCTGGAACCCTCTCTCTTCTCCAGGTGCCCTGATAGGTGAAATAGAGGAACCCCGAGGGACATGTCTCTGTCCCTGTCATTGAACACGCTCTCCGCGTGGGGGGGTCGTTGTAACCACTTTGCGCTCCCCCCACATGGGAGAGGCCACTGTTAGAATCCAGGGGTTCCGGGGGGTAAACTGAGGTCCAGGGAGATGTACAGTTAGGACCCGACAGCCAGATCCAAGCAGAAGGTGGAATTGAGCATGCGGGGGGGGGGGGGGGGAGTGACCCACCGCTGTCCCCGTCCCTGCCGCCCTAGATCAAAATGGACTCACAGATGACGAAGCAGGCACTGAATGAGATTGAGACGAGGCACAACGAGATCATCAAACTGGAAACCAGCATCCGAGAGCTGCACGACATGTTCGTGGACATGGCCATGCTTGTGGAGAGCCAGGTACCATGTGTACCGTGCGCGGCGGTGGCAGTGGCGGGCACCCCCACGGCCCTCGGGCCCCCCCCTGACCCTGCCCCGGGCCTCCCTGTGCACCTCTGCAGGGCGAGATGATCGATCGCATCGAGTACAACGTGGAACACTCGGTGGATTATGTGGAACGCGCCGTGTCGGACACCAAGAAAGCTGTGAAATATCAGAGCAAGGCCCGGAGGGTGAGCGGGGACTGGGCTGGGGCTGGGGCTGGGCGTGGCCAGGGCCCAGGTGAGTGATGAGCTCCTTCGGTGCTGACCTCTTCCTTTTTCTGTTTTCTCTCCCCGTTCCTTCTCTTTCCCTCACTCCCACCTCCCCCATGCCCCCCTCCCTTCCCCCAACTGTCTCTGTCTTTTAATCTCTTTCTTTCTATTTCTGTCACCTTCCACCCCGCCACCCCGCCCCCCATCGTCCTTTGTGCCTGCAGAAGAAAATCATGATCATCATTTGCTGTGTGGTGCTGGGGGTGGTCTTGGCGTCATCCATTGGGGGGACGCTGGGCTTGTAGGCCCCCCACCCCCTTCCCTCCCAGACCCCTCCCCCACTACATTGGGAGCAATACCCCCACCATCCTTTCCACTCCATCCCCTGCTCCAGGCTCCCCCCTCAGACAGACCCAGGCAGCCCTCTGTCACCCCTCAGCCCCTGGTGTCCCCGGCCTGCCCTTGCCATGGACCCACCCCCGCCCCGCACGTAGATAGCAGCAGGCGTGATTCCACATGCACACCAACATGCATGCCGCCGGCACATGCTTGAGACGTGTGGACACCCCAGCGTGTGTGTATGTGTGTAGACGTATGTGTGTAGAAGCTCCCAGTCACCTGCCCCGCCCCCCCGGCCCCCCGAGTCTGTGTTTTGTCTGAGCTTCCCCGCTCCCCTGGCGATGTGGTGTAGACCGTATTCACTGAACCCTGCTGTCTTCTGTGAGAAGGGTGTGTGCGTGTGCGTGTGTGCGCGTGTGTGGCCACGGGTCTCCGTGGCCAGTTTGTGGACATGGGATTTTGTGTTTGAGCGTTTGAATCAAATGCAACCGCCCTTCATGCATGGACACCTTCCCTCCTTGTCTGCTGCCAACGGGGCGGGGTGTGTGGACTGCTGCTCATATCCTCACCTGAGGACCCAGAGGGCTCCGACCCCCAGGCCGTGGCAGACCCTCTTGACTCAGGCATGTCCCGGGGACCGTGTGTGAGTGTGCTCTGAGCCCCATGAGTGCAGCCCAGGTGAGTGGAAGGATCCACATGTAAATAGCTTAGCGTGGCCTATATATACGCGTGCTTTTCCTGAGCGGTGGCGTGCGGGTGTGTGTGCGTGCGTGTGTGGGATGTGTGGGAGCGTGGGTCAAAGCGCAACCCCCCCCCCCCCCCATCGCATGCACTGGCCCTCTGTTTTGGGTGGGAAGAGAAATCTATATTTCTATGTTATCTGGAGTGTTTGTGCGTGTGTGTGCGTGCGTGTAGAGGCTTCCTACATCGTATGTCTGCCCCATGTGTTTGCACATACACTGTTAAGACTCACGCCCCCTCCAGGTGGGTTTCCCAGATTTACCGGCCCCCTGCCCCTGCCACCGGCGGTCGCTGCGTGTCTGGTCGGCCACACACACTTGCTCCATCTTCATTGTGCCCCTGTAGCTTTCTGCCCTGCGAGTCTCAAGGGTCCTGTGCCCACCGGGCCACACGCAGTCTGGCTCCACTGTGTTCTGAAACCAGTGCCTCTCAGTGTGCTCGTGTGTGCCAGGTGCCAAGTCCTGGAGCACGCGCCTGCAGCCCCGGGCACTGTGCCTCCTGGGAGGGGTGTTCCTGGGGAACATCCAGGCCGCCCGAGGCTGATGGAATGTCAGCCCGTTCCAGCCGAGCTCAAGTGCACTGGGAACTGGGAGAGGCTCCTGTTGGCCCCGCCAGGTGCTCGGGGCGCTGCTGCGGCACTTACTGATTGCACAAGTACCAGAGGGGCCTGGCGGTCATGGTCATGCGGGCAGGCCCTGGGCATGGCCCCGAGCGCACACCCACCAGGGGCAAGAGCCAGGGGAGTAATCAGGCCTGCATTTCTGACGGTGAGGAAAGGCCGCCACTCCCTGCTACAGACCTTACGCCCGGGAGGCGGGGAGTAGACACTGTTGGACACCCAGCCACACAGACCCACAGCGGAAGCCTTGAGCACCATGACAGGAGTCTGCCTGGCCCTGGGTTAGGCATGGGTGTGCACGGGTGAAGGACGGGGCTGAGGTTGGAGGGATCCAGTTTTCAGGGTCCTGCTTCATGTGTGTGCATGTTTGCTTGTGTGAATGTGTGCGTGAGACCGTGGAGAAGTGACCTGGAACAGAGTCCCCTTTCCTGTCCTGCTGCAGGCTGTCGTGGGTGGGGGCGCCTGCCCGTCTATGCCCAGATGCCCATCTGCAGGACAGGAAGTTCCCCCTCGTGTCTGACTGCCACCCTTCTGCCCCCATCTCAGGCTTCCTGGGGGACATCAGCAGGTCCCAACCCACCCCCGCGTTCCTTCCAGCCTCCCAGCCAGGACCCCCTCTCAGGCCCAGGTGTTTCCGGAGTCCCCAGTGCTGGGGTCACCAGGAGAGGGCAGAGGCCGGGACGATGCTGCCGCCCCCCCCCCAGGTGTTGTGTGTGTGACTGCCCATCTCTCTGGGCCTCAGTTAGACCAGAGGCTCCCTGAGGGTCTGCCTAGTCCAGCACCTCCACATCGGAGGATGTGTTCGCTTGTTGGTCGCCGTGTCTGTGCCTCGTGGAGTGCTGCTCGGGGCTGGTGTCTCTTGCATGTTCTGGACAAGTGTGCGCGACCACCTTCCAACCATTGACCCCCGTGTGCCCTGTGGGTGGTCCGGACCTAGCCAGGGCTCGCTGTCAGCCCCCCCACCCCCCAACACCCGCCCGCTCTCATGAAGCCACCGCGATTTCCTCCCTGTGCCTGCGGGGCGCTGCACGCTCCTGTCACCCTCCCGAGCGTGTGGACCTGACCCGTCTCGGCACCCACCTGCCCCCAGCTGCCCCGCAGAGGACTTGAAGGTGGCCCCAGTGCCCCCTCCCTCCTCGCCCCTGCCCGCTGTGCAGCCCTGTGCGTTGGCGTGTTTCCGTGTCGCTGGCGTGTCACGTGATGTAGCCGTGTTTGCTGACCTGAGCCCCAGCCCCTTCTGTTTCTCCGTTGGTTTCTAGAGCTCTCTCCCTTTCCTCCCCAGAGGGGACAGGACTCCTGGGGCCTGGCCGGGGGCCCAGAGCCAGGCCGCCTCCTCCTGTGAGCCCTCAGAGTCCCATTTCTCTCTATTGGTGACCAAGTTGCAAATGGATCAAACAGGAAAACTCTGCCCCCCGCCCCAGCCCTGCATGTCCTGTCCCCGGAGTCCCCCCACCCCAGCCCGGGCCGGGCCGGGCCCGTGGGACGGGAGAAATAGCAACCAATCCAACAGCGGGTGTGCCGTGTACTCACTTCCTTGTCCCCACGAGGGACAGGCGCCGTGGGGGGCTGTGCACGCGGGGGGAGGTGGCAGGAGCGGACAGGGACTGGGCAAGGAGGGCCAATGAGGGTCAGCAGCTTTAATGCAGGGCCGGGCAGGGACTGACAGCATCCTCACAGTCCCGACACTGTTGCAGGAAGGGGGAAGAAACTATGTGGGTCCCCTCCTGGAGGGTGTTGAAGGATCCATCTGCAGGTGAAGAGTGTCTCCAGGTCAAGAGAGTGTAAGCACTGAGCCCGGGGGTGTGGGGGGGGCTCTGCCTTCCCAGCCCTGGCCCAGGCCCGGGTGAGGATGTGGGCGGCGCCACATGGGCCCTCACCAGCCAGCCAGAGGGGCCAGGGCAGCTCTGGGAATGCAAAGGCGTCATCCCAGCTGGCCCAACCCCTGCCCTCTAGGCTTGCTTTAAGGGTTCAGGGGCCTGGGCTGGGCCTCGCTGACCGGTCCCCTGAGGCCTGCACCCAGCGGATGGTGCGAGCCCGGCTGTCCTCCCAGGAGAAGAGGGGCGTGTAGCCGAAGTGGCGCTGAGCCTTGTCGGTGCTGACGGTGAAGGTGGTGTTGGCCACGGCCAGTGTGTAGGGGTTCAGCAGCGGCGTGTAGAGCAGCAGCGGCCGCAGCAGCCACTGCAGCAGGGCATTGAGGGCAGCCAGGATGATCAGGAGCCAGTAGGGCAGCAGCGGCCGCGTGCCCACCAGCTGCAGTCCACAGGGCCCCAGAAACTCCATGTTGAAGTCCTCGTAGCTCTTATAGGGCGACTTGTCGTAGCAGAAGTACACCTGGCCCCCCATCAACGCGGGTCGCTGCGCCAGCTCCCGGGCCGCCAGCACGTGCATCCAGGCCACGTTGCCTGCCGGGGGACAGGAGTGCCCCTGAGTGCCCCCCTGCGACCACAGAGGCGTGCTCTCCTGGCCAGCCCCAGAGCCTCCCCTGCCTTTGGAAGTGCTGCTCACATCATTCCAGCCCCAGCAGAGCCCCTGAGCAACCGGGCCTGCCCCTGTGATCCTTGTTCTCTGGGGCTCTGCCTCCAAATGCCACACAGTCCTCTGGACTCTAACTGGGTACCCTGAGTTCTGTCCCCGTCCCAACCACAGGGCTCCAGCCTGTGTCACTCGGGCCTCACCCACATAGACCCGGCCGTGCTCCACAGACGCTGGGATGGCCCGGAAGAGCCGGCCCCGAAGGCGGAGGCCCTGGCTGTAGAAGTCCTTCAAGATCTGGTGGCCTTCACCGTAGATGCCAGTGGGGCGCAGGGCACATGTGACCAAAGGCAGCCCCCCACGAACCTAGGAGCAAATAGGTCCACAGTACCTAAGACCAAGAAGCCAGTGGACAAGCACTGTCTTCTCTGACTGGACATAGCGCAGGATGCGCGAGAGCTGGGCTGCGTGGGCTGTCCCTCCTCCCACCCCCGTCACTCAGCCTCACCTTCCTGCCATTGGCTTCCAGAACCAGCTTCTCAGCTAGGGTCTTGCTGCGAGGATAGGGGTGTGTGTGGGCTACCTCATACGGGGTGTCCTCATTGCCCCTAGTGGGGAAAGGGAAGTTTGGGGCACTCCTGGCCGTACTCAGGGGACTGGCTCCTGCAGAGTGAGCAGGCACACAGCCCTCTGAGGTCTCTGGCCCCGCGAGGGACGTCTGATGCTGTGGGGGAAATAGGCTTCTTCAAGCATTTGGGGGGAGCCTCAGCTCACCTGTAGAAGGGGTGGCCTTTGTTGTTGGGCCCCAAAACTTCCATGCTGCTCGTGTAGACCAGGAACTGTGTTCCGGTCTGCACACAAGCATCAATCACATTCTGCGTGCCTGTGAGAAGGCAGAGTGTTATCTCAGCCGAGGCTGGCCCATCTCCCTCTGTCCCCACCTTTCCCAAGTCAGACTTCCTTCCCAGATCTAAGAAAACCCACAGCTGGGCTGCATAACAGGTTCACCAGCTCCATAACGACAAGAGTCACGCAGGTCAGGGAGCATAGGGCTGGACAGCAAACAGCTAAGCAAAGTCTGGCGAGGAGTGGGAGTGGCACCGCCCACTGGTGGCAAACGCCTCACCCTGCACGTTGATCTCATAGATGGTCTGGGGACTGGCCTTCCCAAACACGTCCACTAGCCCGGCTGTGTGGATGACTACGTGGACTCCAGCCATAGCTGCTGCCACCTCATGGGCCTGGGTCACGTCACCCTGGATGGCTGTCACCAGAACAGGTCCTGGTAGGAAGTAGGGACAACCAGAGGCAATGTCAGAGCAGTCGGCTGGCCAGCTGCTGGGTTCAGCCAACACCCTGGAGCACCACATTCCCAGTGTGACTCATCCATCCCATGCGTGTCGCCCGGGAGCACAACAGCTCTGTGGGTTCCACAAGAGGAGTCCGTCCCATCCCGTCCCCTGCCCGCTGTGGTCACCCGTCTTCAGCTCGTCCAGCCAGGGACCCAGATGCAGGTCAAAGACCCTCAGCTCCTGCAGTCGCGGCTCCTGCTGTAGCAACAGTCGCACCACGTGCTCCCCCAGGAAGCCACAGCCACCTGTGACCAGGTACACCAGCTTCTGGGGCTCTGCAGAAACCGCCATCCTGGCTGGAGAGAGATGCAACTCACCCAGGTCGCCTGCTGCCACCCACCTGTTCCTCCTAGGCGGGTTCCCGGGAGCAGTGACCAGCGTCAGGCTGCAACCGGGAACTGAGATAAGGTGACCAGACCATTGGGGTTGCTTCTGGGGTCAGGGTTTGAGTCAGGAGGGAGGCTCTGGGTGATGAAAGGAGTGGGGGAGGACAGACACAGATAGCAGGAAGGGCTGGGTCCAGGTTCGGAGGTGTTAGGCTGTTATCACCCTGCCTACCTGCCGCTGTGGTTCACTGTGGTCCGGAGCGCCCGCACTGGCCGCAGGATTCAGTCGGTCGCTGCTCCTTCCGCTGGCTCCTCCCTCTTGGCCAGGAACCAGCCTCCACCCCCCACCCGCCCCCCGCCCCCCCAATCTTGGTCACAGCACCCCCTAGTGGCCATTCACTATAGTCTACTGGCAGTCTGATCCTGCAATGATCGTGTGCAAAGGTGTAGAAGGGGCCAAGAAGGAGGGGTGTCCAGGGCCGGGTGAGGCCTTGGGGCAGGTTGGTGCAGGGTGACCTCACTGTCACCGCATGTCAGCCCTTCCGTGTTGCTGGACCCCTGCAGCGGCCAGGAGCCCAGCACAGCTGTGGTTCTGGGAAGGGAAGCCTGACCTTGGCCTGGAGCTGGCTGGCCTTGGGGAGTTCTGGATGTCCCGGAGTGATGGAAACTGAATCTGCGGTGCTGGGCTCTGACCCAAAGCCCTTTTACCTACCCCAAACTTCAGCCATCCGTTTCCTCTTCTCTTCACTTGCCCCACCCCTCATTCCATCCCTCTCTTTTCCAAAGACACTGAGTCAGCACTTTTTTTGTACAATAAAGTTTAATCACAATTATAAAAATGTGGCGTTGGGTTTGCACTATTAACATATGTACAATCCAGCCCATCGTGAAGGTCCGCCACCCACTGGCCTGGCCGAGCTGGAGCTTCCAGACAGCAGTGGGGGGGTGACCCTCGGGGTCTGGCAGAACAGAAGAGGCAGGGTTCCAGGCACGGAGTCCCTAGGACTGGGGGCGCAGGGCCCCCCCCAGGGGGAGAACATGGCCACTGCCCCTAGAGACCCCTTAAACTGGGAAGGGGTACACGCTGGGCACAAAGGGAAGTCCCCATTAACACAAAGCAAGAGGGCTGTGCAGCCCCCCAAGAACAGGATCTGTACAGGCCGGCACCCCAGGTTTCCACAGGAAACAGCTGCTGGCAGCTATGAAACATTTACAGCTTCTTCTCCGCAAAGAAAAAAAATTAGGGGGTGGGTGGGCGGGCAGGGGCAACAGGAGGGTAGACGTTGCCTCAAGGGACGGAGTGTCCCTCACTGGGCTCGGGGCCCCCAAATTTGTATTTGGAGGTGGGGGTGTGTGGGCCCTGCTAAGCCCACTAGGTGGGGGCGCTGGGAGCTCAGGGCACCAGGGGGAATAAATAGGGGGAGGGGCACCAGTCCTGCCCTGCCTCAGTTGAGGGAGCCCCGGCAGCTCTCGGTGCCGCACAGACACGGGATCTTGTTGTCCTCCAGCGGGAACTTGTAATCGTAGGTGATTTCCTCGTCCACGCCGATGGGCTGCTTGGAGTAAATCACGATCTTCTTCTGGGACTCAATGGTGATGACCTTGGCATAGCAGTTAGGCTGCAGGAGGGGGGCCGGCATGAGCAGAGACCACCCCCCTCGGCCCTGCCCCGCCCCCGGGCTGCCCCCTGCGCACCGTGCAGCAGTGATTGATGAACCTCGCCAGGTTGCCACACTTGGTGGCGTCGATGATGGTGTCGTGATCCACGCGGAACAGGTAGCTGCTACCGATGCCCTCCTGCACGTAGCGCTTCTCCCGCATGTCAGCCACCATCTGGAGGGGACACGGGCAGGGCCTTCCCTCAGCTTCCGGCTCGAGCACGCCTGACCCCCTCCGCCTCCACGCACTAGGACTGGCCTGCGTGCTTCCTGCATGCCAGGCGTCCTCTTACGGCACCACCCTATGGCCACCATTCTGCTCCTGTCACCCCAGGGGGGCCAGAGGAGGCTACACTGGTCACTGGGCAGAAGTTGCAGTCACAGACTCTCCCTGGAAATGTCTCCAGTGGACACAGTAGGCCCAGACAGTGAGGGGGTCAGTGACACTCCTGAGACGGGACTGTCCCTCACCGGCCGCCTCCACCCGTATGTGCAGAGAACAGTGTTAATTCCCTGATCCGGCGGTGAGGACCCTGGGTGAGCTCGCTCCCTCCCAGACCTCCACCTCTAGCCCAGAGCCACCTCGGTGCACCTGCCGGGCCCCTCTTTAGAGTTCCCAGGCCCTGATGTGTCCCCTGTCCTGCCTGTCTGTACCATGACCAAACGCTTGCTCTTCCTGGCTCCCAGCTCCCAGCCAGCCCCACCTGCTTCCTGCTGACAAGTGGCCTCACCTCCCCCTCCATAGCCAACTCTGCACCCAGCTGCCAGCTCTTTTCAGCCAAAGGAAGTTTCACCTCTAAAGTGCTCTCCTGCTGCCCAATCACGTCACTTCCCTCCCTCCTCCCCTCAGGTTTTAATGTATTAATTACATCTGCAGGGACCAGCGCAACAGACAGCAGCTAAGGTGCTTGCCTCGCATATGGCCGACCCAGATGCAATCCCCAAGTCCCACTGCGAGTGATCCCTGAGTGCAGTGTCAGGAGTAAGCCCTGAGCAATGCTGGGTGTGACCCCCAAAACAACCCCCCCCAAAAATATCCACTGTAGCCAACCATTCTCCAATCTCTCATTGCTGCCATTGGCCAAGTTTTTCCTCTTTGCCCTTCTAAGACTGTCCCACCCCCAAGTCTTGGCCTACCTTACAGCGGAAACACACTTCCCTCTCTGAGTCTGGAAATGAAGCCTTCATCCGCTTAACCCCCATGGTGATCATTACTGCCTGCCCAAACGGCCCTGTTTCATACCAAACTCCACCATCCTCACGGAGTTTGCTGGTAGCAATGTTTAGCTCCCTACTCTAGTTTTTTTTTTTGGGGGGGGGGGTGTCACTGACACCCAGCAATGCTCAGGGGTTACTCCTAGCTCTATACTCAGGAATTACTCCTGGCAGTGCTCAGGGGACCATATGGGATGCCGAGGATCGAACCCGGTCAGCCGTGTGCAAGGCAATGCCCTCCCCACTGTACTATCACTTTGTCCCACAACTGAAGTTCTTAAAGGGAGAGAGTGTTAGTGGTGTGTTTTGCGAGATACTTAACACCTAATTAACTGGAACCCATTACTGTTGAGGGAAGAAAAGAAAGAACACTGCTCGGCACAGGGAGTCTCTCTGCTCGGCACAGGGAGGGATGTGGGACTTGAGAGTGTTTCCCAAAGTGAGATCACCTTGTAGGGGGCGCTGGGATGACGAGAGGGGCGGGACTGGGTCTATCTGGGGGGCATTTATTTGCTCCCTTAAAGAAGGCAGATTTCCAGGGGAACACTAAGGCAGTATCTTCTGGAAAGGGGAGGCTTGTACACGCACATCGGAGCAGGAGCGGCCCTACCTGGCGGATGTTCTGACCCACGTACTCGATGACCATCTCATCAGCCGCGATGGGCTCCATGGCAAACAGACCCCACTCATGGATCCGGCTCCGGCCAAATCGAAGCTTCTTCTTCCGGAACTGGAGGGCAAAAGGCAGATCCCGCTGCTGGCTTCCTCCCCAACCCAGCCCTGCCTGCGAACGCTGAGGGTGGGCAGGAGAGGGCCCTGGCCACCCGGCTCCCCCCGGCCCAGCCTTCTCCCCGTCCCACCTTGAGTTGGTTGAGCTTCAGCAGGTCGCTGTCCATGACGGCTGAGGTGCCAATCGCGCTCAGGAGGCGCCGCTGCTCGGACCGGCGCTCGGAGAGCACTCGGTTAGTCCCCTGTGTGTGTGTGGAGAGGGGGAGAGGTTAGAGCCCACGGGAAGGAGTCAGGCAGCTCCAGGCACACAGCAAGGCAGGGCCTCACCTGAACATCTGTTCCTTCCAGCTGTCGGGCTGAGACGGGGCACACGTCCAGGTACCTGTCCTTCTCCTTCTTGCTGATGGGGTAATAGCCTTCGCTGCGAGCTGAGCCCGTCTGGTGCTCACGGGGCCCATCCTGGGGTCTCCGCTTGCGTTTTGGAGTGCTCAGGTTGGTGAGTGCAGGGGGTTAAGGAAGGGAACGGCTTTCTCACTGGCTGGTCTACTGGGGTCCCAGCACCCGCCCCGTCCCAGCTCAAGGAAAAGCCGCCTCATGTCAGTTAGAGGTCCTGAGCATACTCAGCTGCACGGAAGACAGAAAGAGAAATGACCCTCAGGCCCAGCTTTTCTTTTTCTGGTTTTTGTGCCACGCCTGGCAATGCTCAGGGGTTGGTTCTGCATTCAGGATCACTCTTGGTGGTGCTGGGGATCGAACCCAGGACAGCGGTGTGCAAGGCAAGTGCTCTACCCTCTGTACCACTGCTTTGGTCCCTTAGTCCCAACTTTTCGGTCAGAAAAACTCTGGCAGGCACATAAAGGGGTAGGAAGCAGAGAAAGAGGGACAGAGAAGAAATCCTGAGGCCAAGCAAGGAGGGACAGTGGACAGGACAAGTGCAAGCACTGGGAGAGCGACAGGGCGATGCAGGCAGACACCCCAGCCCGCCACCCACGTCCACCCCCTGCCATAGCCAGCCTGTCTCCCGGGGGGCTCGAGAGGCTCAGGATATTGGTGTGATGGACCCAGTGGGTGTCATTGAGCCAGTCGGCCCCACTGGTCTGCTGCAGCAGCCGTTCATACGTGAGCCGCAGGTAGCTCATGTCCTCCAAGTCCAAGCCCGAGTTCCAAATGTCGTACAGGATGGTCATCTGCTCAAACTCGCTGCGAGGCTCGAAGGACGGGGGCGGGGGCCGTGGGGGGGGCGGGGGCGGCCGCCGGCGCCGGGCGTGAGAGCGGAGGCTGCGGCGGCGCACGGCGCCCTCCCCATCGCTGCTGCTGCTGCTGCTGCTCTCCGACGACTCCGACTCCTCATCCTCATCCTCGTCCTCCCTGTCCTGCTGCGGCAGTGGCGGGGGTCTTGGCTCCTCTGCCTCGGCCACCACCACTTCTGGGGCCTCCAGAACCTCGTCGGCGGGGGAGCTGAAGAGGGCCGCGGGGGCGGGCACTGGCTCCGGGGGTCGCGGGGCCGGTGTGCAGGGCGGGGGCTTGACGGCCAGGGCGTAGTTGTGCTCCAGGAGGATGTGGCTGAGGAGGGGAGCTGGGGGCTCAGCCTCATCCGCCATTTCCACAGCCGGGGCCTCCAGGTCCTCACTGGGAGGCAGGGCGGCTGGTCCACGGCGGGCCGGGGTCAGGGCCAGGTTGGCCAGCACGGCCAGATCCACTTCTGTCCCCGGCT